ACTTAACATCAACTCATAAAAAAGATTCAATCTCCATGATCTCAAAAGCTCTTTTCTCTATATATATACGAAAGTACATGATTTTAAGTATGTAAAAGCATATCATCTTCTGTTTGTCTTAATCTCTCCTCTACTTAACTCAAAAAATAAACTAAGATAAGTAATCTGGTAATTGTAGACTATTTGAATAAATTTATTGCAATTACTTCTGAAAACAATAAAACCTCTTAAATAATCGTTTTTTCCTGTGACCTTTGCCTTTGGTTTCACAAAAAATTTTATTTCATTATATTTTCAATTAAATACTGTGGATTCATTTTTTGCATGCAGTAGTTAGTACAGGGGCAGAGCCAGCCATTTTAAAAGGGGGGTTCCAACCATATGTCCCCATTCAAAAGCATTAACCGTCAAAAAAAGGGGGTTCCAACCCCTGGAACTCCCCCTGGATCCACCACTGTAGTACTAATTTTCATGGATTTTATATATAGATCTAGACAAACCATGAATTCAAATGTTCCAACGAATTATAACTTTTCTAAAGGCATGCTGACTTTACCAAAACCATGAAATGAGATCTATCCACAAGAAACAGTTTTCTACAATCAGCAAAAAATTAGTACCCCCAAAAAATAAATGAATACTCAGACAAAGGTAAACCACTATCTAAATGCTTATCAAATTACAAATTTGCTAAAGGTTTGAATACTGACTTTGCCAAAACCATGAAAACAAATATCCACTAGAAACAATATTTCCATAATCCACAAAAAAATGGTACTAACGAAAAATAAATTAAGTAATTTTTTCCCCATAAATAAAACCTTCAAATATTATTTCACTTGGCCTAATTAACGGGAAGATAAATCAAATCTAAATGATATAACTTACATGTACATGTATGACATGATTTGATAATAGAAGTTAGATTACATGATGTACATGTAGCCTATGACATTCAAAATTCCCTTACTGTAAAAAAAATGTGTGTGTGTGGCATCATGTCATGTATGTTCAAAATTCTGTTAAATAAATGCAGTATTTATTATATTGTATTAATACAATGAAAATTTCAATTTTAAACCTATTAATAAACAGTTTATAGCTGGCTAAATCTGTATAAGTAATCAGCTCATCTTTACTAATTCTGTATAAATAATCAGTGCATCTTGACTTCCTGGTTTTCTCATTAGGATGTTGCGAATCAGTGGAAACCAGTCTACATGTACCAAGTACATATATATCTATTAGACCTTAGGTCTATCAAAAATATGGGTTCTGGCTAGTGAAAATTTGTATATTAGTCCCTAACAAACATAGTTGTATTCCCTGCCTCCGTACCTACCCTTATTTTCAATGCCTTACCTAACACATTTTATGGAAATTTTTGGTTATGTTCTGTTGAAGCCCATAACCTTCCCTATAATATATAATAGTCTATGTAATAAAATTGAGAATGGAAATGGGGAATGTGTCAAAGAGACAACAAAAATATTTAAAAACAAAATTTTGTTAACTACCCACCCTTTTTTCTGTCCTGAGGGAGGAAACAAGTTTATAAATATTTTGGCCTAATTTTGTTGGACAAATACACTACAAATCAGGTGATGTCACACATTGGGCATTGTATATGACATTAAAGGTTGTGTGATTGCCCAGAACAAGTGAAAGTCATTCTTCAGCAAGTAAAAGCTGCAGCAGGATACTTGCTTAAATTATGTATTCTTATGCAATATTATCCAAATCAAAACTGAATCAGTATGTATCCCAGGATGGAGATGGTCATGGTCACTTACGGTGGTCAACATTTTTAGTGTTATATGAGAGAAATGAAAACTTTAACAGAATGATTTTTGTCCATAATGGCAGTTATGAAATTTTTTAAGAAAGTATATATAAAATTTAGACAAGTACATGTAGTTTTCTCTTGCTGATAGCTTTTGCATTAAATGTTTAAAAACTTTTGGTTAAATTTGAAATTTTATATATATAATGAACTTTATTCATATGAAATCTTGTCTCATTGGATAATATTTGATAGATTGATGTTAATTAAATTTTGTTTCTTTGATGGGAGATTATCAGAAGTTACATTTTGTGTACATTGTATATTGAGACAATATTTTATGGTTGAAGTGTCATACAAATTGTCTTATGAAAGGAAAGTTACAAAAATTAATATTTTGGATGATGGTATCATAAAAGTGTTCTACCTCATTGATTATAATGAACATATAAACAAGGAATTATTTAAATCTGGAATAATTTTGAATTCTAGGAAATTGATAAGAAATATATATGATGAAAACTAACCTAATTTTATAGGAGGGTTAGCCATGCATGTATGGCTAAAGGGGGGTTTATTAGTTAGTTCATACTGAAATATCAGTGAAAGTAAAAGGAACCATAGTCATGTGTGCATAAATAATTCCTTGTTTATATAATAAGTGATTGCAGCTACTTAACTAATATTTAAACAGTATAATATGGTACAATCATAAACAAATTTGACTTTAATTAATTATAAATGCAAATCTGAAATTAGCTTATGATAAAATATGTTTTTTTTTTGTTTTTTAAAATTAATGCCAAAATATTTTCAATTATAAATACATGTATTTTTTAAAATGTGCACACTTGTTTACTATACATGTTTTAGATGAGAATTATTGGATCCAGCATTTCACTGTATTGCACATACTTTTCGTGAACAGTATTCCAAAGATTTCAAAAACACTCTCACAATTTCAAGACATATGATTCTTCAGGGAATACATATTTTGATTAGGAAATATTGTAATGGACAGAAATTCACAGTAAAATATTATCAGGGAAGTATTTCACAGTGAAATATTGTCCCAAAGAACATGGCAAAATTTCATAGAAAAGGACACTATTTCATAATGACATATATTGTCCCCGGACAGTATTTCATTATAAAATATTGTCTGTGGACAATATTTCATTGGGGACATTATTTTATGTTACACATGTACATATATTATCCAGGACAGTATTTCATTGGGGACATTATTTTATGTTACACATGTACATATATTGCCAATGCCAATGGTCTGTTTATAATTATTTAAATGATTTAATTGAACTAGAAGTTTGTAGTGATTCTCTAGTTCATATGACGACAATTAATAATATTTTGTATGGAGGGAATAAATGACTGTTAGAAATTTTGAATATTTTAATTCTTTTGATTTGATTAATATTTGTTTACATGTACTTTCTTTGATGAACAATAGACAAAAGTATCTTAGAAAAACTGATAACTAGCATGAAAAGACAGATTCACATCTATTCTCTTAAATTATTTCATTGCTTTAGAGTTATCTCCCATTTGTTACAATTTTACAAACAAAAATTGCTTTGTGAATGATGTATGTTATATATTTTTTTAAGTTTAAAGATCTCATTAATAAAAATAAAATCTTCAACTTATATTATAAAAATAAGTAATAAAATCTTAACAAGTGAAATCTTAATTGAATACTAATTTAATATGATTTTTTCTGTTACATAAAGTACATTTATGTAAACCACAGATCCTTCATGAAATAATGTACAACTATGTACCTTACAATTTGGTTATATCATTCATCAATGACTTCAGTAGTTTCAATATCATGTTTTTTTTATAAAAAATATTTGTATGTCAAAGATTATAATGCTAGCTATGATCTGTAACCTCACCAAATAAAAAAAAGTCTGCTAGAAAAACATGTACCTACATGTATGAATCATTTTGCTAGCAGAACTTTTATCAACAAAACACTTTTAAATGCAGTGGATTTTTATCAACTGGGAAAGTTTTTTTTACGGCATTAAAAATTAATTTCTAGCCCAGATCAAGTCCAAATAATAAGAATGTCTTGATGTTTTAATTTTTTGCTGTGACACCTTCCTACCACTAATAGATCTTGGAAGTCCTTTTAAGAAGAAATACAGTGGAACCCCTATGTCTGTGCTACCAGTGATATTGCAAATGACCTGATTTCTTCATATCCCCAATGTAAAAGTTCACTCAATAGAATCGTTCTTGTTATTGTTTTAGTCTTCTGAAGGGACACAAAAGATTAAAACTGATAAGTTCAAGCATAAATTTATAAATGCAATCCCATGATTTACCATATTTAGCCATTTTCCATAAAAAAAATTACACATCGTCAGATCAAATTAAGTCAAATTTTTATCAAAATGAAATTAATTTTGCTCCGCACCCTTGGCAGTCTGTTTGGTTCAAACTGACCTATATTTCGTAGTATAATATCTTTCCCGTTTAAATAAGCTATTTTTATAAGGCATGCACGAAATCACAAGACATTTGAAGAATTGTTAAAACAGGGGTTCCCTAATTTTGGACACACATTACATAAAATCTTAAGGGTGAAACCACCATACACCATTGTGTACACAAGGAAAATTTCATGAAAAAAAAGTATGTAATGAATCTGTTAACACAATATTATACGATTATTGTTTTTATGAGATCACAAAAGTGAAGCCAAAAGTCTTAGGTGATTGGATACACATACACCGGTCTGCACAGTAATTATTTGGTTACTGCTTGAGTGCTTGCTATAATAATCTGTTTAACATAAATGTTTATATTTTAAAAGGCAAAAACACGAATTTATATCAGACTTCAATTCTTCTGCTATTCATATACATTCAGAAGTAATTCATAACACCAAAAAAATTCCAAAAAAAATGATTTATCGTCGTTTGTCCCTTCTTGACCCGTCCCCCTTTTATGTTCACCCTTTTATTAAGTTTTAAATTGATGGGTGTAATATTTTGTACGAATGTCATCATGTCCTCATGGACAAACAAATGTTTAAGTTAATTATCATATATCTCAGTATTTAGGCACATAAAGGAAAAGAGAAAAAAATTATGATTCACATCACACCACAACATGATGAACACACGTGTTTCACTGTTTACAAAATCGATGTATAAGATGAAGCAGCCGACGCACGTCTTCTTACCTCGTGAAGGCAGCGTACAGCAATCCTATCACTGAAACTGTCAATAAAGTTATAGTATGTGGTTTGTAGAAAAATGCCAATGTTATATCATCCACTGATTTCTCATTAATTATCCTAAAATGCTCTTGTTCTTCATCTAGAGGAAGGTCATCTTCGCCGCTCGCCATGTTGCGTAAGAATAAAGAGTCTTAATCAGGGGAGGTAATTAAGTGGATTTTTTATACGGATAGGCCAAACGAAGACAAATTGTGGTTATAGGAAGTTCGATGAAATGGCGAACAGAAATTCGGGCTTTAAATTATCTATTATAAAAAAAGATACACAAGAGCAAATAAATGAATAGACAGAATAAGATAAAGTATACAAAAATACAATGCAATAATACAAATACACACGGAAGGAATTAGGACAACTCGGACCAAAGACAACTCGGACCAAAGACAACTCGGACCAAGACAACTCGGACTAATTTAAAGACAACTCGGAATAATTTAAAGACAACTCGGGCCACTTTAAAAGACAACTCGGGCCAGTTTGAAAGACAACTCGGACCAGTTTGAAAAACTTGTCAGCCCAGTGGCTCTACGTGGCTTTTACGTTTAATATGATTTTTATTTGTTTTTGTTTAGATTTGTTTTCCGCTCAGGTTCCTTTAGTGGTCATCTTAACGTTTTCTGTGACAACTTGTCAGTTGAATGCATTTTAATTAGCCTTTTTCTTTAATTTACCATATTTCTCTTCTTTCACCATTAATTGTTTTAGCACTGTATAACGAGATGATCCGAGATCAATTCGAAAAAGTAAACAATAATTTATAACTTTCAATGCAATGAAATTTATATTGTGATTCGTTAAATTATACTTATTCGTCAGAAGTCTCAATAGTTTAACCGTTATCGTTATAAATGGAAAACATATACCGTGATTCTTCAAAATCAGTTGATTTTTTGTCGGCGAAATGTACTCTGTGCCGCCGGTTTCTTTGTGGAGTTTTTGTGGAGTTGTGTGTGTATCATCGTCGTGTTTCTTCTGACCAAAGTGAAGTCATTTTTCTTAGTCTTATTTGTTTTAATGCCCCCTTACATTGTTTCCTCATAGACCCCAAAGCGTTTCGTGTAAATATTCTTTAAACACCGGCTCGAACATTCTTTAAATACTCAGGGTATCTTTTAAAAGAGAGACGAAAGATACCAAAGGGACATTCAAACTTATAAGTCGAAAGACTGACAACGCCATGGCTTTTAAAAAAGAAAATGACACACAGACAAACAATAGTACACAATACACAACAAAGAAAACTAAAGACTGAGCAACACAAACCCCACCAAAAACTGGTGATGATCTTATGTGCTCCGGAAGGATAAGCAGATCCTGCTCCACATGTGGCACCCGTCGTGTTGCTCATATTAGTACAAACCCGGTAATAAGTCTAATTAGGTAGGTCATTTTCGGGGAAAAGGGAACGGGATTGTAGTTACGACATTAGGAACATATCCGCTGTCATTTGTGAAACGGATATTCAATAACGGTCAACCAACTCGTGACCACTCGTGATGGCGTCCGTAAATGATTTACGAAGAGATAATTTCAACTTCACCACTTGGAACTCTTGGTTTAATAGCTTCCTTGTGAGCAGCAACCTTCTATTAAGGAACTCATGATAGGAAATAAAAGCCCTGGAATATCGTATCAACTGGGAGATATCTATTCCGTATGCAGGTGCTGCTGAATGTAGCTACAAAGAAATGAAAAGTTCACAATGGGAAGCTGAAATCATCTCTCTTGTCGCAAAGTTTTGTTTTCAACCGACCCTCATTGTCAATTCTTTCTCACGTTTAACCCGTTGCCTGGCATAATCCTCGACTGAATCCATCAGTACTTTGAAGTTGTGTATTTCCAATTGATGGATTTAGACTCACGGTATTTCGGGCCTTTGGATAACACATTTCGCATAAAGTGTTATTGACAATGTGTAGGTCACCAGTAAGAAAGTGGCCAACCGGGTTATATATGAATGGGGAACTAGCATATGAACTGTGCTATCAGGAAGTTTAGACTTGAAGTCGTCAATTTTGAGATCCTGCAACACGTGTTTTTTTATTAAAAAAAATAGTTGCAATTGGTTTGGTATAGGTATAAGAAATGATAGGTACAGACTGATCTTTAAAATAGAGAGGCATTTTCGAGTAAACTGATTAATGATGAAGGGTATTGCCAAAGTTGATAGCATCGAGACCTTTGTTAGCAAAGGAAAGTTTAAGAAAAGATTTTTTCTCCTTGTCATCTTTTCCAATGCGAAATTGGTTTGAAAACTATATGACCTGCAATATCCGTAACGATAGCTGTAAGTTTGCATTGGTTTGAATGAGGGTTTGTAACAGTGGTTTTACAAACATATGATGTACAGAGGATGAAGTTTTGAAAGGGTAATAAATAAAGCTGCGTGCGAATGTGACGAATACATAACGGCTTTTGTATAAATGGCAGCAGGTCATTAATAGAGACGTCATGGAGAGAAGGTGATGTATAATGAAGATGACCACCACTACGTCTACGTCGAGGAATAGAGTTGAAAATGTTCATCCTATTCACCCAGCTACATGATGGACTAGATACAATACATGTACCATCAAATTTGTCATTGCAACCGTATTGTTTTCGCAGTTCCCAATTGTCGAATCCAGTTAAAGTAGCCTACACGGATGTCTGAACCCAATTTTAGATTTAATGCAATCAAACGATATTTTTTTTATTTCTTTAGAACTAGGTGACTTACAGGTCCAATGGGTCGAGTGCAACATTGACTCTATATACAAACTGTAATTGTGTTATATTTATTGATACATAGATATAAGAAGATGTGGTATGAGTGCCAATGAGACAACTCTCCATCCAAATCAACATTTATAACAGTAAACCATTATAGGTCAAAGTACGGTCTTCAACACGGAGCCTTGGCTCACACCGAACAGCAAGCTATAAAGGACCCCCAAAATTACCAGTGTAAAACCATTCAAACGGGAAAACCAACGGTCTGACATGCCAGCTCCAGACCTCAATTAAACTGATTGAAAGATTATGTCTTCTTCATATGAAAATCAGGTACAATCCCTCCCGTTAGGGGTTTAGCATCATACCATCATTAAATATATATATGAGAAGAACATAACCCGTGGCATGCCCTGAACAACTGATTTTAGAATAAATGTGTTTATTTCCGATGCAAAGACCCTATGAGTGAATCAATATTGATACCAAAATATGCAATCTAATAAGTCAATTTTCTAGGATTGAGACTTAAGGATGTACTTAAGGAGATGAAATTAGAAAATCTAGAATTCAAAATTGATACTATAAGCCAGAAGAGCATTAGTTAAGGAAAAAGATAGGCTAAATATTGATAGATTATGGAGCTCCTTTTTGAACTATTTAATTTAAAAAAAAAATGGCGGGAAAAAGCTGACTCGTACTTTACTTTATATTTGCATTGTTATTATTTGGGCCTCAAATCGAAAAAAAAAATATATCTAGAATCTGCTTTAATTTCGGTAAATGACCTTTTATGAGCTACTGAAGTCTTATATGAAAAGAAAAATGGGTGTTATGGGGCAAAATATTTTACCCTGTATAAGTATCGTAGGAAAAAACCAAGAAGTCCGAACATCTGATGACAATTCCTAAACCTGACATAAGTACGTCCTTAAGACAGTTTTTTTTCACATTGAAATATTTTATATTATTCATCCAGCTTTTGATATTGATTTTAAAACGCAAAAAACATGTTTGAATAATTTTAAAGTTCGAAATAATCGTTGAAAAACACAAAAAAAACGATAAAATTTTAACTTGTAGTTATCGAGATATTTGCAAAATACTGTCTGTTCGCAATTTGCACACCTGAACGATTCAGTAAAACACGCCACTAACACCTTCTACTTCTACCCAACAGAAGTGACGCACAGTGGGTCACCCTGTTCAAATACGTGTGTTATATCGTATGTAAACAGACATCCCATTCAATCGATCACATTCAGTCACGTCTCAGTCCTTACAGCTGAAAGAACGTGCTGGGTCAGCTCCACTTTACCCGCTATCTACGATGTTGGTTTACTGATAGATAGATCAACGACACACTACTCTCGATGACAGAAACCAATCCAACGCTGTACAGTACGTTGTATAAACTTAAGTTTCGCGCGTAAATATCCGCGTTAGCATATGGTCCGTAACAACCATTATGGGGGACATATTATGCCGACTGACGTCCGAGGGTCTGTATCGTAGGTGTTGGATAATGAACCGCCATTTCACTCTCCTACGACTTTTGTCCTGATAAAGCTTCCTGTCATCGTTATTACCATGTCAGAGACTCATCGACCAGTACTTCATCATCGTGGTTAGTGGGCTGCCAAGCTGACCAACCTGCCCCTGAAAGCAGCCGTTGTGAAGGCAGTAAACAACAACAAAATAGTCAACAAACCAAAAAGATCTTAACAAAACCAAAATGACGGCCGTCCTTTCCAACTTTCCATCGTCACGCATGAACATATTTAAACGCTCACCAAACGCCTTCGGGCACCGAGCCGACCGTGCGAGGGCTGTAAAGCCAGTCAAGGTCGTTACACACTTCCATCATCATGTAAACAGATCACGGCTCACTTTGTTAAATAAAATTGAGAATGGAAATGGGGAATATGTCAAAGAGACAACAACCCGACCAAAGAGCAGACAACAGCCGAAGGCCACCAATGGGTCTTCAATGCAGTGAGAAAATCCCGCACCCGGAGGTGGTCCTCAGCTGGCCCCTAAATAAAATTGTGTGCTAGTTCAGTGAAAATGGACGTCACACTAAACTCCAAAACATATAAATGAACTAAAATTAAAAAAAACCATACATGACTAACAAAGGCCAGAGGCTCCTGACTTGGGACAGACGCAAAAATGCGGCGGGGTTAAACATGTTTTGTGAGATCTCAACCCTCCCCCTATACATCTAGTCAATGTAGAAAAAAGAAACACATAGCAATACGCACAGTAAAACTCATTTTAAAAGAAGTCCGAGTCCGATGTCAGAATAGGTAACAAAAGAAACTATAAGCAAAATGACAATGATACATAAATGAACAAAGGACTACTAGCAGTTACTGCCAGCTCCAAACCTCAATTA